AGTGAGAGAGAGAAAACGGGCGGCACGAGACAGAACGAAAGCAGGGAGTAGCAGCAGTGTAGTAGAAGGCATCTCTGCATCGCATCGATGCGCTGTCGCTTATGTCCGCACCAGCGAGACTCTTGACCCGCCCCGCCGCCCGCGGTCGGCCGGTCCATGGTCCCTGACCGCATTCGCCCCGTCTTACCTCCTCGTAAGGGGAAGTTAAGACGGGCTGCATTCTGCTGTGCTCGAAGTAAGTGACGCGCGTGGAGTCGCTGTCCCCCCAGCCCCCAGCCTCCCGTTCGTTTTGATCATCGGGCCGCTCTCGGCCTTTCCCGCAGAATTTCGACAAGGGAAGGAAGATAGTGATCCGCTAGGGGACGGCCTCTGATTTGGCTAATTTTGTCTCTTATTCTATTTTTAATTTATTTTGGCAGAATTTTGTTTCTATTTTAGAATTAGGGCTAGGGTTACGGGTTAGGAATTAGGGTTAAGGTTAGGGTTAGGGCTTAACCTGATATTCTATATCCAGAACACCACTAATTAATCTGCGCCATCATAGCGGATCAACTATCTCTCTCTGAGACCTACTACTTTCCGCGTGCCACGTACAGGTAAAAGTTTATCCTAAACAATTTTTGCTTATGAAACATCGTTCGAGTATGCGTAATACAAAACTCCATGCATAACAGTGCCAACATCACGACCTACACGCCATTCTAACTGGAACGCTAGTAGTAGAAAGGCACGTACTTGACTAGGTGGCTGGGCTACTAGGTTCATTAGGAATGGCTGTTAGGGCAATGGGCGCAACGGAGGACACGTACTGACTAGGTGCTACTACTACTAGGTTCATTAGGAAGTGGTTCACCGGCAGCGGCGCCAAAGCGGGGACAGATAAAAAGCTAAATGGTTAGGCGCGGCTAGAACAGTATTCGGCAAGTGTGTGTGTGTGTGTGTGTGTGTGTGTGTGTGTGTGTGTGTGTGTGTGTGTGTGTGTGGCGCCGCGCGCGGTGTGCGTATGGCGTGCGTGCGTGCGTGTGCGTGTACTACGGCGTGTGCGCGTGCACGCGTGTGCGCGTGTGTGTGGTTATATGCGTGCGTGCGCGCGTGCGCGGCGCGTGTGGTGTGTTGTCGCGTGCGTTAGTGCGTGTGCGTGCGCTTGTGTGTGTGAGTTCGTGCGTGAAGCGTGCGCATGTGTCTTGTAATTAGCATTTAGAGTAATGATCCACTCTAGAGATCCAGACGCCGCTTTTCTTGTCCCATCCTTGTTGTCGCCTGGTATAGTGCGACTACAATTTATACGTTGTAAAGACCGATATGTTCGTCGTAAGACGTATGTTACAACTAAAACGATCGCGACAACGATTCCCTAGTTCGTCCGTCGCCACCGCCCGTGGTGTCGGTGGCTCGTGCGGTGGTCGCCTGCATCTCACTGCCGGACACTGCCGGACACTGCCGGACACTGCCGGACCCTGTCAGACATGACCACCCACTCACTCACCACGTAAGCTTTGTCCACACAGCCACTCGCCCAATGTCCACTCGTTGCCCAACGTCCACTTGTAGCTTTATGACCCTAATTGGCATCTCAGTGACGCAGTCAGGCTTACCGCCACAAACAAACAGACACTTCGCAAGTGCCCGCACACATAGATATACGTGACGTGATTTACATGACAAAAGTAATCAGGCTATAAAGAGGAATCAGAGACATGGGTCGAAGCCGAGATTTCAGTCGTAAGAACCAACGACCTTGGTAACCAACCTGGAAGCGTGGATACCAGCACGATGCTTCAATAAAAAAATGCAATGCCTTGGTTGGCGCTCTCGCGATGAAAGAATGAATGAGAGTGGGGTGGGAGGCCATGAACGCCCGCAGGAAATAATGATAATAATGATGCGAAATAAAATAAATGAAAAATAAAATAAAATGAAATAAAAACGAAATCATAATAATAACCGCCTGAACGAAATAATGTGGATGCGAAATGGATGTCTCGAGCAAGGGAAGCAAATAGATAGATAGAGAAAGACGGGAGATAGACGAGAGGATGGGAGTGAGAAAGGATGGCAGTAAGAATAGAGACAAGGGCGTTGGAAAGAAAGCGTAAGAAGTAGGGAATACCAAAGACAGAGTAGGAAGGAGAGAGAGTTTGGAAAGAGAGAGTAAAAAGTAGGGAAAACCAAACAAGCGATAAACGGCAGCATTATCGTGTAGCAGTGATAGAATCGCGATAGCTCTGCTGCATTCAGCCGATATCGACTGGATGACTGAACGTAATTAGATGTTTACACTCAGAGAGATGTGGAGGCGAGATAGACAGGGAGAGATGGTGCGATATTCTGCCGTCAGGCGGCGCTAATCTCGCCATCTCTTTCTCTCTCTCTCTCTCTCTCTCTCTCTCTTTTTTTCTTTCTCTCTCTCTCTCTCGCTCTCTCCCTCTCTCGCTCTAGCTCTGTCTTTTTCTTTCGCTC